ACGATGGTCACTGGATCTGGGAATCAAATGCCAAGATGGATACCGCTTCAACATAAAATGAGTTTAATGTTCATGCAGTCTAGCTTCTTTATGTATCTTTTCTTTAAACAAAATAAACAAAGCATTGCTCCTGTTCAGCTATGCAACTATTTGTTATTCAAGTTATCTAAAGCTCCAGTTTAAACATTTCTGCTCCTTTTTGTAAAACACTCAAGTTTGTTGTGTTAAGATTAGCTCGGACCAGAAGTTTCCAGACTGTGTGCTGAGGAACCCCAGGGCTCTCTGGAAAGTTATCAAGGGTCCTTCAATGAGAAGATCAAGCTCTCCTTGTCTGTCAAATCTTTCCTTGCAATATGCACTTGCAGGGGCACTCCAGAGCACACAGGAAAAAAACCTCTGTCATTTCCGCTAATGGTGAGGCCAAAGAAGCCTGGCTAGAAGTCCATGTGCCATAAGAGAAGATTCTCCAGAATGCACCTAGAATCATTTACAACCTGCAGGCATTCCATATAAGTTGGGAGCTGTTATATTAAAATACATGTGGGGGGTTACTGCAAGTGAAGCTGTCTTGCCATCAAAGCGAAGAAGAGCCAGACTAGAAGCACTGTTTATTGGAGAAACACTAAGATAAAAAGAGTCAATTTGTGCTCTGGAGACAAAAACTGGTCCCTTGAAAAGTACACCTGGACCCCTTCAGTGACTAACACATAACCAGGGCTATTTTGGGGCAGGAACGCACAGGAATGGAGTTCCGGCTGGCTCCTGAGTTGGCCACGCCCAGCAGGAACTCATTAGCATAATAGGCCACACCCAATAGCAGAAACTCATTAGGACTGGCTACATTAGGGGTGTGTGGCCTAACATGCAAAGGAGTTTAAAAAGCCATGGGTTTTGACAACCAACAAGGTAAACAGAATAAGAAGGGAAAGGTGGGTGTGTCTGGATGACCACACTTCTGGTAACATGGTGGTGTGGCCTAATGGGCTAATGAGGGGTGCTGTCAGGGTGTGGCCTAATATGCTAATGAGTTCTTGCTGTTGGGTGTGGCCTATTATGCTAATGAGTTCCTGCTGGGCTTTTTCTACAAAAAGACCCTGCACATAACCAAGAAAGAAGGCTGGCTGACCAGTAATGGATCCCCTCCTTATTTACACATCTACACATCTTTCTCTTTTTGCCTGTTTAGTTTTTCTCCTATCTTTTCCTCTCCAAAGGAAATGGGAGAGACATGCATGCATGAGAAGAGGGGCACTCAGTACAGGAGCCCTCACTTGCCTCTTCAAAATGGCCCCCCAGAATAATCTGGAGAACAGCAAGGCTTGCAGAAGTGAGCAATCATAACAGAGGAGCAGTATTGTGTAGTGGTTAGGATCAGGGAGACCGAGGTTCGACTTTCCATTCTCCCCTGGAAGCCTGCTGGGGAGTCTTGGGCCACTCATAGTTTTCCAGCCTAACTTATTGATTGTTATGGTGATAAAATGGAAGAGAGGAGAACAAAGTTGGCTGCCCTGGGTCCCCCTTCGGAAAAAGGGTGGGGTATAGGGAATGTAAATAAATAAAAGAATGTGCATGTCTATAAATTAATACTGATATATTTTGGTGTGGGCCACTAGCAACTTTAAATTACCAATTTGCTCCCCTCTCCCAAATTCAAAGACACTCCTTATTTAAGGCAATCAAAGGATTGGTTGAAATTGGTATGGACAACTGGATGAGAAAGGGATTGTTTACAGATTTAGTTTACAAGAAACAGACGTATTTGCTGTACCACTTCAGACTGCATCTAATGGCTGCAAAGCTGAGAACTCCTTCATATCAATAAGACCTACACACATAAAAAACTGACATACTTGCAAAACGATAAAAGTAACCTGCGTTCCTGACACTGTACTGAAGAGCATTCAGTCCTGAGTCTGCATCCAGATGAGCTGAAACTCCACCCCTGCCATGGCGGCAGCAGCAAGTGTCCTGGGAATGATACCCACCCCTCCCGTCCCCATGCTACTTGCTTCTCCTCAGCTCCCTGCTGAGCCAGTTTGGTGTAGTGGTTAAGTGCGCGGACTCTAATCTGGGAGAACCGGGTTTGGTTCCCCACTCCTCCACTTGTACCTGCTGGATGACCTTGGGCAAGCCATAGTTCTGATAAGAGCTGTCCTTGAAAAAGAGCAGTTTCTATCAGAGCTCTCTCAGCCCCACCAACCTCACAGGGTGTCTGTTGTGGGGAGGGGAAGAGAAAGGAGTTTGTAAGCCGCTCTGAGACACCTTTGGGTAGTGAGAACATGTTATAAATCCAATCACACACACACACACACACACACACACACACACACACTGATCTTGGGCACTCCCATGGATCAGAAACCTCCCTTTCCCCTCACTTAACTTTCCCCTACCAAGTAGGATTGCCAGGCACAGACTGGAAACCTGCAGGAGAACAGGGAGAGGATACGAGGGGGCAGCTGTTGGCAATGGCATGACATTTTACCACAGAGCTTCCGGCAATTCCTAGAGAGGTGTGACATCACTTTCACATTGTCCCCAGAAGTGATGTCACACCATCAAACATTTTAAATTTTTTCTCCTGCTGCCAGGAGGGTGGGAGATCCCCCGTCCCCACTGGGAAACTCGCAACCCTACCATCAATCCATGCTGTAGCACTTCATCACATCTTGAAAAGAAAAGTGGAGAAAGCCCTTTACAGGACCGGGGGGGGGGGGGGGGAGAATAGTGCACAGCAGAACACTGCTGAGTTCCATTTTGAAGGCAAATCTTAGTACCACCCACTGTCAGTAGCTGCAAGAGCCACTCTATAAATTCCCCTGTAAGCCAGAAAAAAAGGTTATTTTTTCTTTGGTTCAAAGGGGAAAGCGCTGGGACTTGCACAGGGCATGTTTAGGATGAACACAGAGTCATGCAGATGTTTCCCTTTACTGTGGGGCTTCTTGCTTTCCATGCAGGAAAAATTCCCTGTGTGGAAGGAGCCTGAGCCCTGCCAGCTACCTGAAATGGTACAGCCCAGATCCAGGCCTCACTAAAAATCAGCTGAGGCTACCATATGATGTTGTTTAAAGATCACTTGAACCCGCACACTAAAACAGCTCTCAATCCCCAGGTGGGAATTTGTGCCAATAAAGTTCTATGTCCCATTGCATCCCTTAGTTTCTAAAAGATGTGGACACTGAATGTTATAGACTAGATTAAATACAACAACAAAAGTGGTGATAAAGCAGGAAAATTGCTGGCAATTACTGTATTTTCCCACAACACTTGGCAAACATATCCTGTTATTTAAGATGTGTGATGAGGTCAATGCTGGCAATTCCTTGCAAGATCCCAACATGATTTCTCATCTAATGCTCAAAAGTATGACATCGCAGTACAGTGAATGCTGCCCTGGAAAATTAAATATCTGTCTCAGCAAGTCTAGAAAGGCACAATTTAAATATTAAGTAGGTCTGCAAAGGAGCTTTAGGCCATGAACTTTCTTACAATCTGAGACCCCCTAATTAGATCTGATATGTCTGGTTTATATAGGAAGGTAACTGAGAAGGATATCATTGCATCTTTCTTTTCAAAGTACAGTAACCAGAAAGGAATGAAGCCAGTGTAACGGAAAGAGTGCTACACTCGCAGAAACTGAG